ATATATATTGATGAACATCAACGGTTCCGAACTGATGAAATTAATGATATCAGACCACAGACTGACCGACGAATGTCAAAGATTATATGAAAGCTTCATTGATTAAAAAAATGCAAAACAGAAACAGGGAAATTGGAATCTTGGCTGCAGCACATACTATTGGATCCACGTTTGTCGGTGACAAATATTTCCATTTAATTAAAGAAATTAGTGGAGTTCAAGATTCTACTTAATTAATGCATTGTTTATATAATTAATTTATTAAAAATTAGATTTGAAATTAATGCCCATAAACAAAGAAAGCAGCATAAACCAAACCACGGACAAGCAAAATGGATGGAGAGATTCTGAGAGAATTTCTTAAGAGACTTTATATACTATTTCATCTGCTAGATTTTATGTGTTTGTCATCCTTGACAATTTCCTATTTATATGCAAGAAAGAAATATTATCGTTGCAATTTTGGCTACTTAATTCAATCACTTAAGAGATGCTATCGCTTAAAGAGGTGACAATCAAAGAAATTTTGAAGATTCTTATTTAGATGAATGAACATAGCCTCAGGAAAGATATACAATTCTGAAAAATATAAATATTATTATATAATAGGTTCAATCAAAAATTGTATCCTAGCTAATTTTGGTGAAGTTTATTTTAATCCGAGAAACATGTTCCTTAAGGGGCAAATTGTATCCTATGAGTGATGATCTCCTAGAAAGACTCGAGATTAATTAAGTGGTCGTATCTCTATAAATTATAAGATTGATTAATTAAAACTCGGGGCAAATTGTATCCTATGAGTGATGATCTCCTAGGAAGACTCAAGATTAATTAAGATTGATTAATTAAAACTGAATTAAGAAAAGTAGGGAATCTTGTATGCTAAGAATCTCGATAGTGTTCTAGTTAACGATTTGTTGAGCTACATTTTAGAAATTTAGACTTAACTTTAGTTTGAGTTGTTCATTTTTATTAAAATGTTAGGACTTATATTCCAAAAACACAATATTATGAAAAAAGTCTATGAGGTGAGGACTTATCTTGTAGTAAAGAGAAACAAAATGTCTCAGAACTTAAGCTAAGATAAGAACTAATAAAAAAGTAAAATCTCATACATGGTCCAAGGAAATATAGTGGGTGCTATAGGTTCAAATTCCACTAAGAAATAAAAATAATCATACCAGTGTGACTTCAGGTGTGATTTCATCTCAAAATAGTTTAATCAGTAAAACGAATATGAAAAATAACCTCATTTTGGACACATTTTAACTATAATTTTCATTCACTCGTCTCACTTAGAATTGAGAGAGAGAGAGAGAGAGAGAGAGAAGCTAGGTCCCAATGAATGTCATAGGCAATTGATCTACAAGGAATCTCTTTGTTTAACCCCTTTGAATAGATAAACGGTAAGTCAACGCATGTTATAGAAAAGCAATTTAAAGAGAAATTCTAGTAATCCCAGAAAGTTTTTGTTTAGGATTTCAAGTGTATTATTGT